CTGACAAAGTTGGAGAGCAGCCCTTCCTGCTCAGAGAGGCATGGACACTTGGCACAGTCTTTAGCAAATAAAGGCAGGAAGTTCAGCTGGGGACACTGAACACTTTTGAAACCCCTCCAAACTCATAGTTACTTCTCTCATACAGTATATCTTACCAAATAAATAAACTGAGAAAGAATAAATAACCTGGGCTCCACCTGAGATCCCACCACTACACTATGACATCTAATAATTCATCTAATGGACTTTGCAGTCACCATGCTGTAGTTAGACAGCAAATTTTAAAGATTAATCAGTGAACTCAACATAACAGTAACTTTAAAAAAATCCAGTTTGGTAGAACTTTCTTTAATTTGGTTTTGGTTTGTTTGAAGCTTTTTGCATAGCTTTGAAGCTTTTTTATTTCCTTTTCCTGGCAAGATGATGTACCCCAGTTCATTAAGTACTCCTTTCATAAATCAAAGCATCAGAAGTACAACATGTTTCCTGAACTTGTCTGTGCATGTGACTTACTACATAGTTAATCTAAAAAGCCTGTAAAAAAAGCCTACCAGCCTCTCTATGGCAGGCAAGTGTCCTTGGAGGACTTGGTCCAAAGAGCGGTGAATAGATTGAGGTATCTAAAAGTTATATTCATTGTATATTTACTCTATGTCTTTAGTGAAAGTATTTGCTTGCCTTCCATGCAGTCTGTGAGTGAAAATATACAAGAGACTATTCCAGGTTATATGAATATTTACCCTGGACATAGGTGAGTTAGTTAAAAGTGATCATATGAAGAGATTCAGAGTAAACTCAAGGTATGCCAGCAGTGGGTACAACCTGAAATATATTGAGTGCAGCAAACAGCAGGTTTGCTTTCCATATGAGTTTCTCCAGGAAACAATGCAGTGTTACCCAGTCATAGAAAAATTAAGCTGAACTCAGGAAAAAATGTATCCTGCTGAATCTAAGAGAGAGGTTGCTGCAGCTCCATACCCCAGATACAACCAGCAGTGAGGCTGAAGATCTATTCCCAGCAGGCCCTGTGCACATAACTCACAAAGGTACAAATATATATGTATATACACATGACCATATACAGACACATTGCAGGACCCAGGACCACCCAGAGTGCTCCCACAAACACCAACAGCATCATCATCCGCATGCTGCTCCCCTCCAAAATGGTGCAGCACCTGAGAAAGAGAATATGTACAGCATTCATTCGTGAGAATATGTATCTGTGCAGACATGCACATTGTGGCTCCCATCAGCTGGGGTCATAAACTCAATCTGACCAGTAGCTGCCCCTAGATCCCAGTCTCCTCAGTTTCTGGTGGCTGGACATAAGCCTCCAGTGTTGACTTGCAGTGATGGGTTTCATGCTGGACAGTGGGCTGGGACTTTCTTGGAACAACCTTGGAACAACCTTGGAAGGGACCTGGATGAGGTATCCAGGTATTTTTCTGAATCTTAATTTGGTAACCTGCTTTAGCACACTCCTGCTCCACCAGGCTAGTGGACACAGGCTTTGGATAATCTGATGTTTCCTTCAATAGGCCTGAGAGAAGCCAGGGCCAGGATATTCTCTAGGCTCTCTCTCCTGCCATAATCTCTCTGTGCTTCTTTTGGAAGTACAGATAAGCTTTTATCACCTAATCTAATGCGAACAGTCTGATTTCCACAGCAGTAACATCAGAGCAGCTCCCCCATATTGCTCTGTGCTATCTACCTTTTGTTCCAGCATCTCAGCTGCCTCCAGCTGGGGTTGTGTGTTCCTGAACCCCACTCTGTCACACTGTGCAGCATTCGCTGCAAGCTGACCAAGAAAACACACAGGCCCCTGCCATTGTTGCCTGGGCAGTTATTTAAAAATCTCACTATTTTAAAATAAGCCAATAGCATTGATTTTGTTTGAATTCAGCAAGTGATCTTTTCTCACCAGGGATTGGTAGAATTGCAGTACAGGGAGAACTAGCATGGTGTTGATCATAGAAAGAAATGGATCATTCCAGTCCTCCATTAATCTACCCCTCTGGAGTCTATACATTATAAAAATTCAAGTATGATGCAGATTGCCTGCCTTCCATAAAACTAGAAAGGGAAAGATTTACAGGGTCAATTACTATTGACATACACCAGGTCACTGTGAGTGAACAAGAACTGTCTTTTTCAGTTTACTGTAAACACCATTGCCTTTTAATGTCTTCAATCTTCCTGAAGCTGAAGTTCTTTACAACAATTTGTAAAGAGCACCTGTTTGTGTTTTGGTTTAATCAGAAGCCTTGGTCATTTGAAAGGTTATGTATTCAAGGAGCAGCAAAATCTCTTTTTTTTTCAAGTGACCTATGTGTTGGCTTTGGTGGAAAGTTGTGGGAATCAAAACCTACAGAAGCCAACAGTGGAACTATATGTATAAAAGAAAACATAACAGTGATAAGCCTATTATATACTTTGAACCAAGCTTCTGCTGATATGGTGTGGGACATGAATACATTTGACTAATTTTCAGTCAGTTATATTTTTACACTACTGAGTTATTTGCAAAATGTAAGCCTTCTGATTTGTTTGCATGGACAAGATATCTTCTTGTTATTTAAAAAAAAATAAAACTAGAAGATGAGACAAAAGCAAGACATTAAAAAAAATCTATTAATAAAATAAGTTGCTTTAGTAATAAGAATTTGAATGCACATATTTGTAGTTGTAAAATAAAAAGATCACAGCTGGCTGCAATAAAATGAAGGGACCTCTAGGCAAAGTCTGCAAAACATGGCTGAATGAATGCTCTTTACAGTTGTCTGATAATATTTCTTCAGGCTGTATTTCTTCATCAGTTTATTCTATTTCAGCTTTACAGATTATGTAAGTAATTCCTTCTGTAAAGCTTAGTATCTTTTCTGTGTATTTTTCTTTTGAAATGTATTTGATTTCCTGCTGACATAAAGGCAATAAATTGGCTCCCAACTAATAACTTCAGAGCTAAGCTCTTCTAGAGTCCTTAATGGACTAATATACTCTGACATATGAGGCACTAGTATTTGCAAAGTTGCTGTGGTGGTGACCAGTGTAATTTGAGTTAAAAAATACAATAATAATTCTACTTTGCTTAACCACTCAGTGTGATTCTGAAAGGACATTTCCACCAAAGTGAATGCATGCTGTCCTTTTTTTCTGAGAAATTGTATTTTTAGTAAAATATAAATTCACGGGGAAGTCTGACTTCTTTTTGGTCACAGTACCTTACAGTGACTCAAATTAATATTAAAACAGATTTAAAGTAGCACAGTGTCTACTTCTTGAAGAAAAGATCAGGTTAGGTCCAAGGGAACAATCTGTAGCACAAAATGTCTGGGACTTGCTTCAGCTTCTTTTTGGTCACTATGATAAAGTGAAACATTCCTAAAAGCAGTGATCCTTCCCTTTAAATTTCTCTGCCTGTCACTGCAAACCCATCAGACATGGCCTAGAGGTTTTTTTGACTCATGCATGGAACCTGTAGGCAATGGCATTGGACCCAGGGTCACAGTGATAGCTGTAGCAGCTTTTGCCCATGGCCATACCTCTGGTTTTGCAGTAAGCAAAGCCAGCTGGGGAGATGTGGCCCATTTTCTGTCTTCTGCTAGAATCAGTTGTCAGACTAGATCATTTTTTTTTGAATGTAAGACTTTGCAGACAGGGGTCTCAATGAGTAGGGATGATGGTTGTGTTATGAGAAGGGGTCACTAGTGAGTGTACCCATGCAGTACCTATGCAGACCAGCTTCCAAGACATTTCAGTGACAGATTTTTGAAGCTATTTCATCTTTTGTCAAAGAGACTTTGAGAAAAAAAGTCCATCATATGCCACAGGATCCATTTCCAGGATGTCCTCTCATAAACATGTAGTTACAGAAATTAGTTTCTGTTCTCTTGCCATTTTCCCAAGCACTCTTGCATTGTCCAAGAAGGGAGGGAGGGAGGGAGGGAGGGAGGAAATGGTGTGGGCCAGGCTGGGAGAAAGAAGTATGCTCTCTATCTTTTTTTCTCACCATTGATCAGTGATCCCACCAAAAACTTAGAGCCTAGAGCCAGACATAGTCACAAGCCTATGACAAAGCATAAGTGCTTGGAGTAGATTTCCTGCATCCTGTGTTACCTTCAAGAGCACCTACTGCTCCCAGTCAGAAGGTGGTAACCAGCAGAATCACTCTTGGCTGAGCCTAGAAACAGCCATGGAGTTTTCTTTCTATAGAGCAGATATGGGTACCAGCAGAATGGTGGCAGGCAGAAACTGATGATTACCATGAGTATGGTTCCAAGTCACCCATTATCTGCTCACATTCAAAGAAAGCACTGTTAGCTGTTTCACCACCAGCACTCATGGTCCCTATGGTGTTTTAAAGCCTCAGATACTTCCATTCAGCTGCAGACATGGTTAATGCTTCTATAATTTAAATGGAAGGTAAATCAGAGTTCAAACTCAATCCCTGCCCATGGTTGAATGCACAATGTAAGTGTTGCTGACCTTCTGGTAGATAAAAGACCTGCAGAGGAATGTGCTGGAGAGAAACAACAGAAGGAAGAGAGCCTATCTCTGAAAGTTTTGGTTTTGCTGTTACATTTACATCCTGATCTCAAAAGTAAAAGATAAGAAATTAATACATGTAATTATTAATTAATTAATTAATTAATTAATAATTTTCTTTCAGAACTCTGTTTTTAGATTATAATGTTTGTGTTAAAATGTGAAAATGGGAGAAAGTATCATCTCTTCTTTCTAAAAGTAAAGGAAGAATGTTGATGGCAGGAGAAAATATTAATTTTAGCAAGCAAAATCAAAACCTATGTTGATACTATCTTTGTAACAGTAATATCTGACAGATAATCCTTAGCTTATTTTAAATCTGTAATTAATTAGAATCATGTTACCCTAGTTGTCAAAATCAGTATTGTCTCTTTCTTCTTTTTGCAACTCTGTTTGAAATTAATGGGGAATTTGTTTTGCTTTGACTCCTCTCTCTCCTTTTCTCTTTTAAGGTCAACTCAGATCAAAACATACTCTTGGGATAATGCCCAGGTTATTTTGGTTGGCAACAAATGTGACATGGAGGATGAACGGGTAATCTTCACTGAGAGGGGAAAACATTTAGCAGAGCAGCTTGGTAAGAAATGACTCAACAAAAGCTTTCTGGTTGCTTTCATTTATTGCTACAATACTTGCAAAAAAAGCTCAGTCTGGTCAAAATATGTGTAACCAAGATCTCCTTGTCACTATTCCTATATAGGTAGGTAGATGAAAGGATATTTTAATAGTGGATATAATCTCATGCTGGTGGTTCTTAAATCATGTATATTCATAGGTTGATGACCTTATTTTTTAAAAAAATACTGTTTTCTGCTTGTACAATTACTTTTCCTGGTAAACAATTTCATCAGAATAATGTACCTTTCTATTGTATCTGTTTTAATAAGGGTTGCATACTTAAGAAAAAGAACTCCTTGAATGAATACATAAATGATTACTGTAAGTTAGTCTTTGAAAGATGACAGGAAATATTTAACAGAAGGCTATATCCAAAAAACTTACCAATATTTGTAAAGAACTGAGTTTCTCAAACTGCTTGCAGCCAAACCATTAACAGAGGATATTTATCTTTGCAAAAATACCTGCCATATTTTTATTTATTTTTCTATCTCTGTTCTTCCCACTTCTAATGTTTACTCATTGTACTAGGAGATAGGAATGTGTATGCATTGGACAAAGAGAGCCCAAAAATCTAACTGTATACCTTACTACAAACTTCGACAAGGTGCTGAAATGTTTAGCAACAACCATACATTTTCACTATAAAGTTTGAAATTTTCTTAAAGTCACATAAAAAAAATCTGAATTTCTATTCCTAGAACTATATTCCTATTAAAAAAAAAACAACAAAAAACCAACAAACAACTAATGCAAGGAATTGACAAGGCATCCCTAAGGTCATGAATTTTTCAAGACAATAAGGAACTTTGCATGTTTTACAGTCAAGAATCCTCAGATGTAATAACCAATGCTTGAAAAAAAGAAAAAAGGGTAATGAGATAGGTAACAAAACTCATGTTTCAGGCTTTAAAGCAAATTCTAACTCCTGGGGTTTAAAATTCAATCTTCGTGGAAGAAGATTATCCTCTATTTCCATATTTATCTACTCAGGAGGTTTCTTTTCTCAGATATATATCCTGTGGCTATCTCAAGGGCAGATTATTGTATTAGATAACTTGTGTCTCTGATCTAGTAATTTGCTGTAGTCAGACTGCAATTGCTTACGTGTTTCCTGCACAGCTGCAATAATTTCTTAAATCTGCCCAGAGTGCAGAGTGGGTGCGATGATGTCAGGAACAGCAGAAGAAAGACTTTCGCCTAACTGTAGTAGATGAGATGGCCTTGCTGGCTGGTTTGGAGGGCATCCATTGTTTTGATACACACGGGACTGTCTTTTCTTTCTCTGGCAGTAAGTTGATAACAGCACTTACAGACAAGTTTTAAAAATAACAATATAGATTTTTGTGTCCAGCCAGACATTCTAAAACTGTGGCCCCTTTGAACACAATGTTGATCACAGACAAAAGTCAGTAAGATTCACGAGTGCTGTACAAAAACTACACTGTGACACCCTCTGTTCTCAAGCGTGGTTTTATTTTCAGCCCTTGTTTATTTGAAGTCACTGAGAAAATGAACACATACATCTTCTGAGGTGAATATTCAGAAGGTCAAAGAGAGCACTGGGAATTTAACTCTCTGGGGAACATGATGTTCTGTTGAGAACAGTGTTATTGGAAAATGGGGCCTACTTTTGGCTCCTGACCTCTCTGAAAAGTATGGCCTTAAAGTTTATTAACAAGGTGTAATGATTAATTTCTTTAAATCACTGTGCTGGCTTATTTCTCAAGTGTAAACCAAACAAAGTGTTTAAATGAACCAAAAATAAGTCTCATTACTGTTGGAGGATGTCTGCTGAACTAGTCAAGTACCTTGTGGTACATCTGCATGTACACCTTTTTCATGGCACTATTCAATATTCAAAAAGAATGAAGGAATAGTTAGGAACTAAGACATCACCTTGAAGAAAAATTACAGAATCTTTATGAGGTCAGAATCTGTCTTGTTTGCTTTGAAGATTTTTTTAAATTTATTTTTAATACTATGACACTGACAATACCACTATGGATCATAGCTACAAACAGTGTTGTAGGTATTTTGTGAAAGATGTGAACTAGCAAACATGCAGTGATACTTTCTCTGATCATAGAAAATTATATTTGTGGGTCTCATGAACTGAATGCAATACATTTATATTCAATAGGCCTTTTGTATTTTTTTCCATGGATTTGTACAATGATATCTTTGAAGACATATAGAATCATACCACCCACAACATCCTTTAAATATGCATAGTTTATCTGTTAGCTAGTGCTTCTTTGAATTAGCCCCCCTATAGTTTAATTTTATTTTTCTTCACTGTTATATTTTTACAAACATTGTACAATTGTTTGCTGCTACCTGCTCTGTACATATCTGGGTTTCAGAGAGCTCTGTCATATTCCCTTTTGCTCCATAAGGTAGTTCCCAGAAAATTTAATTGTTCCAGGCATAAAGACACAAAGACATACATTAGTCATTCCTTATCATCCTATTCAATATTTTTTTAAAGTGTTTTTTTCAGAAATCAGTTCATGGTCATTTAACACAACAGCATCATTAACAGGTTAAATTTAGAATGAAATGAAAATAGATGAGATCAAATAAAGTCACATAACTTTTCCTCATATAAATATTATTCTAAGAATGTGTAGAAATGTAACAAACCAGCCAATGGAGAGAAATAATTAATGCAAGGTTAGTATTGATTTGCTAATGACAGCAAATATATTTAAAGAAGTTTGTTCATTAATTATTATCAAAAAACGGTATGGAATAGAATTCTTATGATATTTTCTGTCTTCAGGAATATTTGCTCTGACTAGTACATGGATTGGCTATGGAGTGATTAGAAATATAATCAGCGCTTACACACTTTAAAGCATTTTAGTAAAACAAAAGTAGGAACTTCTTTTGAACAAATTGCATGCACTCTTGACAGCTGAATTGCTCACACAGTTTTCTGAGATATTGCTCTCATGCCTGTCAGCTAAACTCATACATTCATAAAAGTTTGGTGTTGATTATCAGAAGAGAAATAAAAGGAATGACTCACAGGTGGCTTGATGTCTTGTTTCTTCTATTCACGGTCTGTATCATATATTCATATTATAATCTACCTAAGGATTAGCCTAAGGATTAGCAGGTAGAGGTATGCACAGACCTTTGAATAAAGTCTGAATAACTGCACAGGGAAAGGGATAGCTGCATATCCAATTTGACATACAGTTTTTCCATTTATTTGGGCTTTTTTACTGTGCCTGCTAATTAGATACATCAATTTTTATGTGTAATTTGCTTTCTCAGGTTCTTCTTATACTTTGCCATCCAGGATCAACCATGTCTGGGGGCATTTATCATGTCTAAACATGCCCTAGGTTGCACTTGCCTGTTTTCTAAATTTATCCTGTCATGCTCTTTCTCCTAGAGGCCAACATCCAAGGTCAGAAAAGAAAATGAAACAGGCCCTTTCTGGGTGAGCTCTCACATTCTCTTCTGCAAGGGGCAGCAGAAACCAAGACACACACAATAGTCAGGGAACCTGCAAAGGCCTCTGGATATTATGTGTGTCATAGTCAGCAGTGCCTGTGAGTTCAGCACCCCTCCACAGCTTGTCACTCAAAGAGATAGTAATTTCACCTCTCAGGTGTAACTACATACCTTATCACCATATTTTCTCCTCTTATTTGGGTGACTTTTTCTTTTTTATTATTTTTTTCTTATTTCTTTTTCTTTTCTTTTCTTTTCTTTTCTTTTCTTTTCTTTTCTTTTCTTTTCTTTTCTTTTCTTTTCTTTTCTTTTCTTTTCTTTTCTTTTCTTTTC